AGCAACACTCCCAGGAGAACACAAGATATAATAGCAGCAATTGCATAGGCAGTTTTCAAGAATTCCCTGAGAGACACTCAAGCTCTGGGTACAGTTGCTGCCAATTGTTTTTTCTGTCATGTTTACTCATCCCAGTTCCTTTACCTTGATGCAATGGGTGTCKGTATTGACCAAAAAGAGTGGCTATGAAAAAGCTACCTATTCCTGCTCATGCAAATTATCTTTACATACTTCAAATAAGGGTAGCTGATGATGAATCTATAAACACAAATTGTAAGATCACAGTAATGTTCTGACTGGCCATTTACTAATTTTATTGGAGCTCTAGGAAAAGATGGATTTATATGCATATTGAAGTGGCTTGTACAGAACTGAAAAAAATGGAGGTGATGGCTAAATGATAGTGGGGATGATAGTCTGAAAACTTCTTCCACAGAAAGGATTTTCATTTTTAATTAGTCAGGTAAAAAAGAAGCACTTTCAGGTCTTGTTTTCCCTTATAGTCTCAATAGAGAATTGAAGAAATGGCAGGGCTATGACATAGCACAAAGCAAGGAATCCAAACTGGTCAAATAAAAGAAATGAGATCATTATTCTGCCTGCTTGAAACACTTTASTTTACAATTTGTTGTTGTTTGATTAGAGTTAGTTGACATTTATTTAATTAAATTACCCACAAAGAATACAATCTGTGTGAATCATTCAACACTCCTACTCTTTTAACAAAACACTTGATAAATCTTTCACCAAAGCTACAAAAGACAAGATTTTTGTTCCTGATATTTCTAAGATGAAAAAGTGAAGCAAGAAAAAAAAAGCTGGAAAGTGCTCCTCATTCTCCAACCATGGTTCTTTTTTCTTTGGAATAGTGTGAATTTTGTTCTTTTGTTCTTATTCTTTTTTATTTGTTCTTTTTTTTTTTGAAGAGCCCTGATAAACATTGCTCTGCTTTGTGGATCACCTCTAGTGAAACAGCAGGTACATGCTGACTTGCTAATCCAAAGCCAGACGAATCTGGATCAAGACCAAAGCACTATGTTGCTTTACATCTCTGCAAGGCCACACAGGATGGTATTCTACCTTTCCAGACTGAGTGCCAGATGCCAATGTTATTTTGTCAATTAACTTCTAAAATTTTATTTGAGTATTCAATTAAAAAAATGTTTTACTGTTTCAGAGTCGAGTTTGAGCTATGGGGCTCAAATACATTTCAGTTTTGTGACACAGGGTAAGTGGGAGTGAAAGAAATAACAGGAGATTCTATCAGGGATCATGTTTAGACTATCCTTTGCCATCTGCTAATAACCTGCAAAGTATTTACACAAGCCACAGTTTGCAAATACACGAAGAAACTATTATTTGTTGCAGTTGTGGTACAGGACATGACACAGCTACAACTCACCTCTACCCACTTCAGTGTTTCACAAGAACAGGACTAAGCTCGTTTCTGTGTTACAGTTCTCTRGGTTAGGGTAAGTTCACCAAGTTGAGCTTTTCTGTATTATTCTAAAAGAAAAGTGATATTAAGTTGTGTTCTCCTTGCAAAACGTACATAGGAACTAAGCCAAAATGTACTCACAAATACCTTTCAACACATCCATATTTTTGGTGTTTGACCAGAATGGTGACTTCAGTTTGGAGACTTCAGCAAGAACTGGGATAGGAGGTAAAAGAATGAAGTCAAAACCAATGCAGCCAGTCCACACAAAAACAGAATCTATCCAGGAGCAAGCCTGGGCCTCAGACAGGTATGTCTGAGAGGCTTTGATTGTGTGGGTTCTCACACAATCTTACGATCAGCTAATTTATACTGAGTAAAGATGCAGGCAAACTAAATGCTGATGTAGCTAAATTTCCGTTTTAAACCTGTGTATTATCCAGCCTGTACTTCTTTGCTTTACTTTTCTTGCATTCCATGCTTTTCCTGGTTTTCTATTCTTTCTTTATGGTACTGACATAGAATACAGATTGCCAGAAGCTGACATCAATCTTCTGATAAGCTGTAGTATGATACTAGTAAGACACATCAAGAGGGGAAATAAATTTACAATGACACTTCTATGTTTAGCAGCCAAAAAAAAAAGAGGCAGAGAGGCAGAGAAGCCAGTTCAGTGCACTGCGGAGTACTTGCTGKTTGGCAGACTGAATTCCTTAATGAGATTCTTATTAAGTTCTTTCTGCCAAATGCTGTTTGCTTGTGCTGTCAGAATTGTCTGCATTAATAATGAGTAACTACTCAGAAGTTACTTATGTAAAGCATTGCTTTCATATCTCTACCATRGACCGCATCTCCTGCCTCTAGCAGGAGAGAGCACCTTATGAATGAATTCATGGATCGATCCTTAATGCACCTAGGCTAGGACTATGTCTCTGCAGACACAGCCACGTTGGTTTGGCCCACAGCGTCCCCCAGACAAAGGCCTCTAGACCTAATGCACTTTTCCTTTGAGTTGTCTCCTCTCATATTTCACTGTGTTTGCAAGTGAATTAGCTCTGCTGTGAAGACAGGCTATTAGCAGCACTTAGGAGAGAAGTGAGCTGAGGTAGTCGTGGGAGGCAGTTCAGACAAATGGAAACACACTGAATGAGCCAAAGAGCTACTATAGCACGGTCCCTGAGGTGGGAGCCTCTTGGCTAGTGGGAAGRCTCACAACACATGGAGTGAGGTTTCTGGGTGGTTTTGTAAAAAGTGCACTGTTATCAGCACAAATAAAAGAAAGAAAAATGCTTCTTTCTTTTTGTGCACTGCAGTCTGTCTCTCTCTGCTTTGTCTCAAATGTGTTGCTGCTTTTATTCCTCCCAGTCAATACCAGCTCTACAGGCAGAACATAGAGAGGAAATTTAAATGGAATGCATGAGAAAGAAATTTCTGCCCTTGAAGATGTGCTTGCAAAAGTTTGTTACTCTGGTGATTTGCTCTGTATAAGTTTTGGCTAATGACAGAAAGTTGCTATCATTAAAATCTCTGCTGGTGAATACTCTTCTATACCAGTGTAATCCAGTAACTGTTCATGAATCACTAAAACACCTATTTCAGACAAGGTTAGTTGTGCTCTAGGTGGCTAAATTGTTCTTGAAAACAGCAATCAAGGGTCTTATGAAGGCTGAGCAGCACACAGCATGGTTATTGCCCTTCTCAAATGCATCAAGGAGTAGAGTCTCTGCTTAAGAGCAGTTTCTAAAAGAAGGAATGGGGAGCTGTACCTGCAGCCTTTCTTCATACGAGCTCTCCTCAGCAGATGAGATGGCCTAGAAGGCCCTCTTGGCCATATGCCAAGGCAGACAAATTTGGAGGCTGTAGGGGGAATATGCTTTGGACACTGCTTTGGACTTCCAACATCAGCATCCAACGTGTTCTTTTTCCATCTGGTGATGAATTCTTGAAAGAAATAAGAACACAGCTGTGCTTAGAAACAAGCTATGTTTGAAACATACTTTAAAATTATTGATGAATCTGTGTGTTTCATTTGCTCTATGATCAAAAAAGGCATGTAGTTTAAGCAGCCTGCTTTAAGCAGCAGTAGCACATAGGGTACGCCATCTAAGAAAAATGGGAAAATAAATTGTCCTCTGGCTGTATTTAAAAATGAGTGGAGATTGCTTCAGTTCAGGTAACATTTGAAAGTTATGTCTATCTCAGTGGTAGATGGAAAAAAAAAAGAATATTCGTTCACACAGTCAAAGAAGACAAGCTTTTATTCTTGATTTTGAAACCAAAAAGACACCTTGTAAATGAAAAGTGTTGGTTGGAATGTGAGGTAGACATGTAGACAGACAGATAGATATACTTTGTGTAAACAGAGAATATCTGCTGAACTGATAGCAAACTAGCAAATTAATTCAGAGGCAATAATTCATGAAAGACTAAGATAATAGACTCGTTATGAAAAACTGGTTTTTTTCTAACTATTATAATAGTTATAGAGAGTTATAGAGAGTATATAGAGAACTATTATAAAAACTGTATAACCATATGAAGTAGTCAACATTTCAGGTTTATAGAGATCCCTTCTGCTATTCAAATTACATCATGCTGATTTTGGTAGCAGTTGTACAACCACATATAAAAATAGTCCTTACATCAAAGAACTCACTAGGACTACAATCCCTAGGCGCCAGGTTATTTTAGGTTGCTTCTTTTKCTTCCTTGGTTTCATGAAACAAGGGAGAAGATATTTTTAATATAGTCACATGGTGAAAGAGGGGAAGGGAGGCAGAATGGCCAGGCAGAATGAAAGATGTTGAAAAGAGATCCAGTTCTTCTGGGGACCTGGTAGGAACTTTGAGTTAGAGCTGGTGAGAGCCCTAAAATTGCCTAAAAAATCAGCTCCACTGAGACTAATAGACATCTAACCTCCAAAGCTGAATGTGTACTCCTGTGCCTACAGTTCTTTATGTAATGCACATGGAGACTCAGCTAGCTCAGGGCAAAATCCACTTAAACCAYGATCTATTAACCATTTCCTACTTTTTGCATCAGGCAAGTCATGCTCTCAGCAGACTGAGGACTCTTAAGGGGTTCCCTCACATCACACCAACTCATTGACTCTAATASTATAGAGAATCCACTTACAGTTCTCAACTCATTAGGTCTCATTCAATCTTGCGACAGAATAAAAGCTAAAGTCGGGGCCACAGAAAATAAGAAGGTTCCAAGACATACTTACATACCAATTGCAGATATAGCAAATAGGACAAAACTTACTTTCAACTTATGCAATTTTCAGTTGAATGTCCAAGAGACCATTAAATTCTGGATTTAGAGGGTGATTTTTTAAGGTTTCTTGTGAAAAACTGGAGAAAGTCCTGCATAAAGTGATGCAATTTCCCTCAGAATAGCCAGAAAAGAATCTACTTTGACATTCATGGCCCTCTGTTCCCAACCCTTAATTCAGATTAGTGCAACACYGGCACCTGTTCATTTGATTAATCAGCATATGGGTTAGCACTGCATTTATAACACATCACTCTTATGAATTTAGTCCTTTGAAACTCACTTTCCTTGCTTTTAACTTGTACTTCAAGGAATTCACCCCATTTCTTGCATAAGGCTCCTTACTGCCTTGACAATGTCCACACTCGTAAAAGGCATGTTTTGTATGTGCTCCTACTAACCTCACAAGGAATGGAAAGACTGCTAARAAGTGTATTCTGAAAGAGGGACAAAGTATTAAATATTGAAACATCTGATTCTGGATTGCAACTCCTTAGCTCCTGTCTTCCTCTTCCTGCAGGATTGGACGGAGATAGTGGAAACTGCTAACTTAAATAAGAATGATTTTTGTATCCAAAATAAGCATTGGGTAGGCAGATTATGAATAGAGCTTCCTTAATTTTATTAGGTTGAATTAGAATTATMTAAAATATATGATCACTTCTGCTGATGGAGGTTTTACAAAACATTACACCAGGTCTTATTTGGAAAACTAGATGGCCAGATGATAATTATCCTATTTTCATTTCTACATTATTGCCAGTGGAGGCTCGGTTATTGCAATCTAGAAGAGATCAACACCTCATAGGGCTCAAAACAAATTGAACTAGCAGAGTCCAAAAAAATCTGGCACGAACACTTGTAACAGTGACTTGTATTAATTTGTTCCAAAGACGTTTCTCACCTTCTAGAAATTGTAAATTGGGGAGATGTCCTTTTTCATTCAGCTAATGAAACACCATACACATCAAAAGGATTAAAATAAAAAACCCTGCCTTATTTCTAGTGATTAATTTCAAATGATAGAACTGAATAGGTCAAAAGTGAAGTATTTAAATGGATAAGTCAAAGATCTGAGCTGTAGAGTCTGCTTGCTTTGGCTTTGCTGCAGAGATATATAAAATTCAGCACTGGCTAATTCATTCTGTACTGGCTACATCACTGTATTCAGAACTCTTTCCTCCTATGCTAGCTTATGGTATAAAAAGAAAAGCCCATCATCTGAGGCGGAAGCAGTACCCAAGGATAGACTCAGTCCTGCAAACAGAAATTGTATAGTAAGGCATTGTGAATATAAATCAAAGAGTCATTACACCAAAACACATTTTCAGGTTCTTCTTTTAGCCTGCCTATTTTTTCTCCCTCTTACCTAATGAATATGCATATCTCTGTGAGTTTCCAAGTCAAGAGATGGGAAAGATGCATTTCCAAGAGCAGTGAGCCTCATCTCATGGGTATACAGCAAGGCTATCCAGACCCCTCTCCTTGGCACATATTATAGCTATCTCCACCATGCATGTCTGCATATATCCTCTAGCTTGGATAACCTTAACCAAGACCTCAGTGCAAGTTTTACCAGCTCCGCTAAGAGGTCTAGTTAAATCCACTCCACATATGGTGCTGGGATGTGATGTCTACCTTAAAAACCCAAACCATCCCAAATTTTCCTAGTGCTCCCTCTCCTCTCACTTGTTCGCATGTGTGCGCTCCGTACCTCACTCTTCACACAAATAACCCTGGTTTATTCTCACACTTGCCCAACATCTAAGCTTAGCAATGTGTGGGGAGGAAGTAAACCTGAGCCAGCTGCCAAACACAAATCTTTAGGTTACTGACCTTCCTGACTGCCTTTTTATGGCATTCTCAGCACCTGCATTTAGCAGCCCCCATCTGGAGCTTTGAGCACTTGAACCCATAGGATTTATCAAGACTGTACTAGAGGGGCTGTGAAAGCTGGGAAATAGCAAAGGGTTTGTGCCGTTATATCAGCTATTTCACTAAGGACAATTCTATGTGTGGTCTGAGATCAAAACAGTCAGGAAGGTCAGGAATTTACTTATAGGGGTTCTTCAGCTCCCAGTGAAGATCAATTGTCCTATAGATAGCATCTTAACTAAATGAAGAAGAGAAAGCAATCTCTTCTAAAAGATGTTTCTTTGTCCCTGGTAGTAAAATGTAATTTTTTTCTTAAAGTACATGACCATGTGCATCATTTCAGAAATCCTTGACAGCTGGATTTTGAATACAGTTTTTGTTTAGTCGTAACTATTTCTATTCAGAGACCACACAGAGTACTTGAGACCATAARTGTATAAATGTAGCCTACACTAAAACTAGATTAATATGAAGAGTGTTTACAGGGCAGCCTGTAAATGTTTCACAGATTTTCATAGGGTCTCAAGATTAATTTAGTTGTTAAAAACCCTAGTCTACATTGCTTTACAGATTGAAAAAAAAAMCAAAGATGCTCAATAATTTCCTTAAAACAGGACTCTAATTTTTAGATATGGTTATTTTCTTCTTTAAAAAATGAAAATGGGAAGTAATGTCTTTCAGATGCTTTGTATTGCTTTGAAATGTCCGAGGACATGCAGTAATGTCACACAGAAGTCAAATTAATGGCCTGACAGATGGTTTTTACTTGCACTTTCTCTCTAGCTGCTGGGTTTTGGAAATGAAGACTGCATGATGTGCAGGCATAAGTAGAGGCTCCTCCAGTTCATTTTGTGTGAGAATGGGGGCTGCGCAGCTGGAACTACGGAGCCACTGAACCACTGAACGCACCCAAAACGTCCCGCAGGTGGATGGCACCTTTCCTGCCCTGCTCCTGCAGAGAGCACTGGGTGTGGGCAGAAAAAAAGGGTTCTCAGCTTTCCTTTAGATCTCTTATCACTGGCATTGTTCTCACACTTTTTGAGAGAAACATGGATAATTAAAGCTTTGGCTTTAAGATATTTGGGCGCAGCTTTCTAGTTTCAACACACTGGGTTTTTTACCTTTCCCCTTTCCATATAACTCCTCGTTTTCTCCTGTACATTTTTTCAGCTTCTAGGGCCACAATTAGTTGTTTCTCAAGAAGCTGGCACTGCCTGCTTTCCTCTCAAGTTTTGCCAGAACCGTTAGTAACTGCAGGAAGAGCAGAACTAATGAAGCCTTGTTGCCAAAGAATGTGTGTCTTATGGTTGRGTTGTTTCATACCTAATCAATTGTGAGCTATGATCAAATTTCTTCTCACAGTCACAGTGTTCATATATCTTTCTCTCACATAGATTCTTTGTTTCTTGATAAAACTTGAGCATAACCTATACTTTTTTCATGCACTTATTTCCAATAAATGTACAGGGAATCTAATATCCTGAGACCTGAGATGAAACAAGACAGTGATTAAAAAATTACTGGGGACAAGACAGATAGGGGAGCAGGGAGACAGAGAGACATAAAGAAATGCAGGGGTGTGTACATATACATATACATATACAGGCACATACACAGGCTAAAAAAAAAATCACAGCCTTCACCAGCACATTGATTAGAGCAAAATGTCTAATAGCAACTCATCTTTCTGATGCTGTGGATTCTCTTTAGGGATCTAGTTTAAGCTACCCTGTCAGGAGACTTACTGTGCTAATATATTGTATGTAGCTTGCCAGGAGTGAATCCAGGATAGTCAGCTTGGGAAGTCACTCTCTGCGTGTGCTGGGCAAACTTGAACATCTGCTGAAACTGCCAGTACCACTGAATCTTTAACAGGTTAGAGATTGGCATCCTGCTCATAGCTAGACACCATATCACAAGGAGAGCGTTTTCTAGGCTTTTTTGATCTATATCCTTTCCCACACCTCAGATATAAGTTTATTGATAATAAGCTTACCTCTTCTCTGTACCTTTTATAGAATCATTCAAAGCAATCCACACACTGAAACTTTGGGATCTAACAGTATTTCTCAGATGGGTTTCAAGTATACATTCTTTCACCGGCTTCAGCTGATTCCTCCTTTATTTGCCATTTGTTCCAAACTATTGCTTCTATAGGAAAAAAGATATGATTGAATAAGACAGTATAAGACAGTGACCATGTGATTTTATGATTCTGTGTAATATATGGTACTCAATCGCTGGACTAAGTGGCTTAGTTTAACTGCCAAGCATAAAGCCCATCATACTGTAAACTTGTTCATTTATAAAACATTTCCAGGAGGCATTGGAATAAAAGAACAAGGTAACTTTCTGATAATTATTTTCATGTTAATATTATAAACGCTGTTTGCATTAGACCTTCATTGTCTTTCACTTCTTGCTTTCAATGAGCACTGCAACAAGGAATATTAAATCTTCAGTTTCAAGCAGAACGTATAAATTTGCACCTAAGGATTATCAGGATTTTTTTTTTATTAGTAAGTTTTATACTCCAAAGTTCTCACTGCTTTTATATGATTTGGAAATGTGCTCCTTAGACCAGCAATGAATTTATGTTCTGCATAACAAAAAAAAAAAAAAAAGCTGTTTTGTTACATTTGTTAGCTTGCTGAGCTACAACACAATCTGAAAATTCATTTAATAAGTATTCACTGGGGAAATTTACTGTTTATACAAGACTATAAATTAAATTTGGAAGGCAGGAAGGAAAGTTTATTTGGTTAAATCTCATTACCTTCTGGAAAACCTATCTGGAAATTCCTAATTCTCCTTACTTCAAAACAGAAATTTGATACTGTAACATTATTGTGACCATAGGCTATACTTCTAAGGCCTCTAACTGCAGARGAGAATAAGATTACACAATAAGAAGCGTGTTCATTAGAGTCTTTGTTCACATATTTCTGTTGAGATGACTGTAGTCAGCTCATACATAGGTACCTGCATTTGTCTAGTTTTGTGTCTATTCAGCTGTATACAAAATCAGAACAAAAGTGTAACACAARGAACAACAGCAAAGGAAAATATTTGGGTCTTGCTTTTGTTCGCTTCATGATCTTTCATGATATAAACATCTCTGGTTTGTTTTGCATTAAAAGTTGASGCCCTCTTAACTCCATTTTGTTTAATTTTCCCTGAAAGACTCTCGCAGTGAATGGTGAATTGTAGCAATTATAACACGGCAAAGATCAAAGAGGTGAAACTTGCACAATGACAGGAAAAGACACACCTGGCAGCCTGACTGAAGGCTGTGTTTATTTGTGCGGTTATGCCAGTTTCAGGCCAGTACAGTGCAGCAGTAGCTATGTTTCTGAACAGAACTCATTGACCTCGGCGATGCACTGCAGTGCCACGTCTGTTCTGCTTCCAGTGCTTAAGTTGGGGTGTCCAGAGCTGGCTTGGCTGCTTCTGCACGGCAAGGCACTGTGCTGTGTGTGAGCATAAGCTTCGTGCCTGTTACTCCCTCACCCTGCCGTCACGCACGTCTCCGCTATGCCATTCCACCCAGGAAGAAAAACRCTGTCCTGTGCGGGGAAAGGGAGGATCTGGGACTGGTGAAGCCGTAGGTCTTGGGTGTTCTTCCTCTGTCAATCATCTCACCTCTCCATCATTCACACTAGAGCTAGGRAGAATTGTGGAAAAAGAGTAACATGAAACATCAAGACTTTATTCTTAGGGATTAGGTGCACTCCAAATACATTTCAGCTGGGCTGTGAGAATGACTCCTCTACCTGGTGTCTGTCTGTAAATTCAACCTTACCAGTTCTGTAACACCTTTAATGACTTTATTTCCTGTCTTATTGGCAGCAGTTAGAGTAKCTGAACAGCACTAAGAATCTTTCACCTCAGAGGAAAGAAAGGAATAGCTAGATCCAGACTGCAGAGCAGACGTGCTCTCCAGCCRTGATCCTCCACCTGCCCAACATTTGCCCCTTTTTCACAAATAGGCTTATAATCCTCATGTTGCTCTTACACCAAAACACTATCACTCAGGTGTCTTGAAAATCCTGAAGCTGGTGTGAGCAATAGAAAAGCAGATCCTTAATATAAAATGCTTAAGGTCACACTTAGTTAACATTATTTCAAGTAAATATGCAGAAGAAAAATGGTTTTCCTGTCACCAGTGTTGTAGTGGCCAACATAGCTTTTCAGCATAAGCCCTTTATTTTATTTATTTATTTATTATATTTATTTATTATATTTATTTATTTATTTTAACTGAGAGTCCTCAGAAACTACATCACATACATGTTACATGCATATATATGCTTAGTCTATAACTATATGGGTTTATTCTTGTTCTTGCTCACTTTCTGGGACATGGATTCTGAGGAATAGAGATATATATTCCATCATACAAAGAAGGCTCAAGTCAGCTATTAATTCTAACATGATCTGGACTGAATCCAACCCTAACTAAAGCTATTCAAAGTCAGTGATTTCCCAAGTACTGCAGGGTGGCACCATGCCAATTAAAAACCTCCAAAGGACTTGGGGAAATTATTAAATGTAAAACAGCAGTGAATGATTAACTCACTTGCTGACCTACCCCACCAAGCTTGCTTCTTTGATGGATGATACAAGAATTTTGTGGAGGGGAGGGGACTGCGGTTTCAACTACTCCAAGCTTGAAGTTTCTATAATCAGTAACTTAGCCACAGTGTTTGYTGCTCCATTCTGGCCCAAGCACAAGAGAACCCAGTTTGTCACCTTCTGCACTTTCAGAATAGAAATAGCATCTCTCAACCTCTTTCCAGCTTTGAAAACATACAGGGTTCTCTTCTGTTGCCTTAGAGGAAAAATGTGTTATGCAGAATAAGTACCCTATGTAGCAGCCAATCTATGGAAATTGTTTAAGACTTTTTTTTCTACTCAGTAAATAAATTTCAAACTGGAGCATTAAAGGCAGTTTTCAGGGTAGTTTTGTAGTCTGGATATCTATGTTCTTGGAAATGCTCATTTTATGGTCTCCTCRGCTTCCAGAGAATGACATAATCTTGTACAATTCACACATGATGCCTATGGAATGCCTAGTGYAGGCAACCTACGGATTTCAGAAATATAGTTGTTTGCTTATTCTTTATAACAGCTGACTAAATCAATAACTCATTAGATGAACCTACTACCTGCAAATYCTTATTTAAGTAGCCATTCCCATATTATGGTTTGCCCTCTATTTGCTAGCTCACATTCACTGGAAGATCTGTCTCTTACTTTGTTTGATCTCAARGTCTTGGATAGTCTCAATTCTGCATTCATGCAGTAGCTAGGACAGTTGTGATCCAGGCCTATTTGAAACTGTTTACCGCTATCACCATCCAAAATGACATATAATAACTCTCTGAACTTAGAAGGGTTTTTTTTTCCCTTTGAGATGCTAATGTTGAAGGAATTGATGCTGTTCCCAGAACTGTGTGTTCTCTTTTCATTAGACTTRGAAAACAAAAACAACAAAATGCCTCTAACTTTCCCTGAAAAGAAACACTGCCAGTTTTAACTCATACTTCTGTATTACTTTCCTTCCTCACGGTGATCCGTTGCTAAAAGTAGGTGTGGCCAAAAATATTTTTATTTCAAGCTTTTTTTTTTCTTTTTTTTTTAAATGTTTTTACATTTTTTATTATCTGTGCATACACTAACATCATGAGTTTTCCAAGAATATCTAGGGCTTTGTATTGTGGCACCTATGCAGTAGGCACGTGTTACCTGATAGAAACAACCGAGGATTTACTCAAGTACGATAAAGGTACCCAAAAATTCCTCTCACACGAGTACCAGTAGCTGTAGGACATGCAGGACACAGCTGGATTGGGAGCGAAGGCCTGCACAGCTGTGCACCTTGGCTCCACTCAGCCTTGGCCAGCTCAGAGGCCAAAGCTACGAGCGATGACAGTAGTGTGGGAACAGGTGCCTGCTCATGCGGCTCTTGTTCCTTTGTGCCTTTTTCAGGGCTTTGCATATCACTGCCTTATCTCATACACAGAGTTCGGTCTGCCTGGCTCTCAGAGGGTCCATTTCTCTTTCCCAGATCACAAGGTGGAAAGCCAGGGACAGARAGACAGGATTTTGACTGAATTTCTGCATGGCAGAAGTCTCCCTCATGCGGTATAATGCGGGGCTCGTGTGCAGATTAACGCAGCAGATCTTTTTTCCCTTTGCTTCTGGAAAAGCAGCTGGCTGACTGCACAGTTCTGATGAGGTCAGGCATCAAGGAAAAATACATTGTGGGGGTACTGCTAATTCTAAGCTCATGCTGGACGTTCAGGTAGACAAGTCTGCTTCTTGACGTGTAACACACTCGTAAGGGTCAGCGCTCGAGTCCACAGGATCTCTTCGTCTTTCTCTCAGCACATTAGGCAGCCACTACACATAAGCACTTCTGCTGCTGATGCCAGTCCTTGGCATCAGATTGGGAATGTGACCAGCTGTATCCTGAAATAAGTATCGCTGCTGTTGGCCAACATGTGCCTGCAGACTCTGGTACTGTTTACAACGTACATGTCTATAATTACTGAGTCCTGACGGACAGGCTCGCCCTCCTGTTAACTCAGCAATGCTCTGGGTGCCCTGGAGAGTGACAGGGACACAGCAACTGGCCCTGCTGCCAAGGATGACAATCAGCCAGCCCTGTAAGGAGCCAGGCCACGCTGCTTCCCACAAGTCCGACCTCCACCTCCACAAAGCTTCATGGTGCTTCCTGATCCCCTTTCCTCCTTTTCCCATCCCCACATGTTGCATCCTGCCTCAACCCGCTGCTGCTGTAAGATTAGTCTGATTGCCATGCCAAGAAGGGTGCCTCAAGGAGGCAGCTTGACAGAGCAGTGGATTGTGCAGCCTAATTTAGGGCAGAGTAACTGTTAAAAATGTCTTGCCAACCCCTAAAGGCTTGTAGAATAGGTGTTGTGCTTGTGGATGCCATTATTTAACAAAATGTTCTGCCATCCAATTTAAGCAAAATTCAGATGAGAACAGAGTTCAAGCCGCAGGGCTCGYCTCATTAACAGATGGAGTAATATTCCAGCAATATTATCCACCTTTTACAGCACTGCTGCTGTGCAGCTTTTTGATGGATAAATATTCTCCAGGTATAAAATTCTTACTATGCGATTGATTGCTTCTCAGATAAATCTGATGCTCAATTATGTTTTAAATGATTATATTTTTATTGATGCATTTCTATTTTTCTCCACATGGCCACAAGCAGTGAAATAAACACACAGGCAAAATATGTCAAGTATAAGYCAAAGGTGGAACAAAAGTCAAGAGGAAAAGCGGGGAGAAAAAGATAGGAAAAGAGGAAAAGAGTAATTAAAGCACAGGATTAGGTGTTAGGAAATGTCATTTTTCATGGCTTCCTGAAAAAAAGTTAGAAAACTTATCCTCTCTGGACTGAAGTGTGATACTCTTTGTCACATTGAGCTTCCGCGTGTTTCCTTTGAAAGCAAACACATTTACCCAACTTTTCATATATTTTGACTCCTCATAATAAGGTGGAGTTAACTCCTGCTAACTATGTGGGTCTTTGCTTGACTTAAGTCCTAGTTTCCTCAGTGTAAACAGCTCTATCAATCTGCTGTGATGTTAAATGATTAAAACTAGGCATTTAATTCAAGAACATTTGTTCCTGCAGCCTTCTCCTCGAGATCAATGTGAGAAAGAACATCCCGATTCAGCAAGGCCATGAAGCTCGTACCACTGATTGGGAAGCCTGGGTTATGCAGGAAGGTTTCCATTCAGATTAAGTAGCTGCACTGTACTGAAGGGTGATATATATATATATATATATACACACACATACATATATATATACACACATACATATAAGCATGTTTTGACATGCAGCAAAGTTGCCTCTAGAGAAATGTAAGCATGCAGCTTTTAGCAAGCCACAAGAACTTCAGATGGAATTGCTGCAGAAATCTAAGTCATTCTGAAGCAACTTAAGCCTGGTCAGAGATAATGAACAATTAGAAAGGTTTTTGGGAAAAGAAAAACCTCAAACATTCATTCAACCATAGCAAAGGGCAGTGTGGAGAGCAGGAAACACACAGTATTCTGAATGAGGCCAGCGCAGCTTGGCGCACATCGGGTGCCACACAGGCGGGTGCACAGGGTGGGTGCCCCATCTGCTGCACCCACAAACCCACTCGCCAGCTGCCAAGGCCCCAGAGGGCTGCGGCGAGGGCCATTCTCTTCTCACACTAAGCAAAGGCTYCTAAGGCTTCGCTAGGGAGAGAGGTGGACGAAGGAAAA